CAGACCTGGAGTTCGAACTGCGACTGCAGCAATTCGTTGAACTGTGTCGTGTCGCGGACAGAGATGGGGCCATCGAATACTCTCGCAAATGGCTCAGCTCGTCCTTCGACAAACACGGTGCGGAGATCAAACAAGCTATGGGTCTCCTCATTTATCCTCCAACACTTCCCATCACTCTTCCTGTGTCCTACAAGCGCCTCTATAATCCCAACCGCTGGGACCGTCTACAAGAACTCTTCCGCCATGCTGCATACGACATGTACAGTCTACCCCACGAACCGATATTGTGGATGGCGATGTATGGCGGGCTGGTAGCACTGAAGCATCCTGCAGGTGTCGAGCGAAACCCAGATTGTCCTGTCTGTGCTGTACCAGGAAACCCGTTGACGACGCTTGTCGACCTCGTCCCTTCGGCGCATCACCCAAACTCAGTCATTGTGTGCAGGCTGACTGGAAAGATCACCAACGAGCCGATGGCGTTTCCCAACTCGAAGTGTGTTTATGGGAGAGAGGGACTGGAGGCGATGGCGTTTGGGACGCAGAGGTTAATTTTCGGCGTCCATGTACCAGAGGGGTATGTGCGTTGTCCCAGGACTGGGGAGACATGTGCGTTCGAAGATCTTAAGAAAGTGTTTATCAGCTAGGTAGAATGTATTTCATGGATGGATGTATAAATTGTATTATTGTAACATTAGTATCCGCTTGTCCAACGTCTGCATCATTGACTTAACGCTGAACAAAGACATGAGTTCGCGCCTGATGCGCCATCAACTTTCTCCGATCACGGCTTGGAACATTCGGGAAGGACCGAGCCGTTCGATCCTTGCTTCGTCACTTCCATCAGTCAAGCCAAGTCAGCCATCGAATCTGCCAGAAACCGCTTGAACCGCCATGATAGAACGCGCATGCTCCCGACGCGCGTCGAGTGGATTACTCACTTACCGGTGGAAAGTATATAAGGAACCGTAACAAACGCCTTCCATTCTCATCAGCTTTAACTCTTCACATCACTCAAACAACAACACTTCAACAATGTTCTCTGCCTACTCTCGTCCTGCTTACACTCCTGCGAGCTACGGATACCCTGCTCCTCCGACTGCCCGCGAGAAATACCTTGCCGCCCTCGCCCAGGCTCAGGCTGCAGAGCAGGAATACCTCGCTGCTGAAGCTCTCGAGCGCGAAGAACAAGCAATCCGCTTGCGCCTGGCGGAAATCGAGGCTTCGAAGCGCCAGCGCCTCCCTCAACACTTCTACGCCGGCCAATCGTCCATTCCCACATATAGTCCAGCCGCGCGCCCTCCGGTTGACCGTCTTGAACTCCTTCGCCTTCAAATCGAGGAAGAGGAGCGCCAGCGGGCTGCCCTTCGCGCTCAGGAAGCTCTTCAGCAGGAGCGTAGGGTATGCAACTCTCCGCTTTCTACGAAACCTTTGCTTACGGGAACTCTTCAGGCTGCAATGTCCTGGCAGCAACAACCTTATTGCGCTCCCATGAGTGCTGCGCCAATTGTACGTTCTTTTTGGTTTCTGCCAAGTGCTTGTGCTAACGCCCCTCGTCAGTCTCAGCCCCAGGACACCTTGTCGTCTGTCGAATCCTACCTTAAGGGCCTACTTGGCGAAGATGTATGCGTGTCCCGTCGCCGCGCAGAGGTTCCTGCTCCTGCTCCCAAGCCCGTGCATGCAACCAAGCCCGTCACTCAACGAACGACGCCCACCACTAACACCCAAGCCGCGGCCCTTGAATCTTACCTCAAGAACATCCTCGGGGATGGTGTCACGGTCACGGTTCGCCAACCAGAGGAGACTTCCAATGGTTCTACTGCTACCGCTAAGCCTGCTGCTGCCCCATCCAAGCCCGCACCAGCACCAGCGGCAAAGGCTCCCAAGGCTTTCCCGCGACAGGTGTGTATATTTCGTGTGTTGCCTACTCTCACACTAATCCCTTATTCTCAGGATCCTATTTCCGTCATGCGTGCTCAGCTTGCAGAGCGCTTCAGTAACGAGAAGGCAGGCGATGTCAAGGACGCCATCCAATCCATCTTCTCTGCTCTCGGTCCCGACAGTGTTTCCAAGCCCAAGCCATCGCCTGCATCCACCAAACCAGCACAGGCAACTCCCGCCAAGAAGTCGCCCGTTAGCTCAAGGTCAAGCTCACCCAAGCCCGAACCGTCTCCCGCTGAATCTCGTCGCTCCATCTCCGCCATTTCTGCATCCCTTGCCAAGCTCACGGCTGACTTCTCCATGCCAACCTCTGTGGACTTTGTGGATGGCGCCAATAAATTGGCGTATACGCCGACAAACGCGCCCATTCGTGTCTATGAACAGGCTTTGACTGCTCTCCTCACCCAGTTGGATGGTATCGACAGCTTTGGAGATGACGAGCTGAGGAAGGAGCGCAAGGCTGTTGTTGAGAGGGTCGAGGAGCGGCTGGATGCGCTGGAGAAGGAGGTTGAGGGGCGCTGGAAGGCATCTGCACCGGCGATCGTTCCTCAGGAAGAGACCACCACTGTCCAGGATGCCCCCGAGCCTGTTGTTGCCGACGTTGCGGAGGGAACTGCTGTCGTTGTCGACGCCCCTGCTGCCAACGAATCGACCGTCACTGAAGACAGCGCTGCTCTTGCTAGCCCAGTCGAGGAGCCTGTGCAGGAGGATGTCGCACCGTATGATGTCGACGACTCGGTAGTGGTTCCATCCCCGCAAGACGAGGCAGTCAACGATATCACTGTACCCAGTGTCGCCGACCTTCAGGACACTCACCCTACGGAGGTCGAAGTCAGTCTTCCAGCCATCGACGAGCCTCAAACCTCTCCCATTTCTCATCCAGCCACCCCACTTTCGCCCACTCGCACGACCATTGAGGATGTAGAGGATGATGCGGACGTGCATAGTGACTGGTCTGAAGTTGAGGCGTGATTTGGAGTCTGGACCTTGGGACTTGGGACCTTTGTAAATTATTCATCTATCTAGCACATCGCATTAATTAGCACCATTCTGTACTTATAGGCAAATGCACATTCACTCTGTTAACTCAACAGTAAACGCGCGATTGAGATGTGGTTTTTTACCTGGGCAGTGACCAGAGGCAAGCCTGCACTATGTAGTGCCATGATCTTGCTTCTTATCCTCAACCGTCACGCTGATTGTTTTGCCAGCGGTATTACAGCGACAACGGAGCTGGGAAGCCTTTCAGGACAACAGTCCATCCTCTAGAGGATTTGTTCGCAGAGGCGGACAAAACCCAACACTTCCAATTCTCTTTAACTTCATCTTTCTCGTCCTCTCTCAATGGTACACTAAGTTCATCCCTTCCGACGCAATCGAAGCCAAGAATATCTTTGTCTCCTGGAGAATGAAAAGCTTGCCTTTCCCCGCCCATGCAAAGTTGGCACTACTCGCGCCTGTGAAGAACTTGCCGACCAGCTTGCCTTTGGGATTCCAGACGTGGACGCCATCGCCGCAACCGCCGTACACATAACCGTTGTTGTCGACGTTCAAGCCATCGGATGCGCCGGTGTCTGCGTAGGCAAAGACACGACGGTTCACGAAGAATAGGTCGTCGGTGACATCGTATGCGTATACAGTGGCGGGCAGTGTCTGGTTATTCGGGAAAAGGCCTCCATAAAGGCCTGTATCCGCACTGAAAGTGAGGATAACGAATCAGTGTGCTAGCACCGAGAGAGGAGGGAAAGGACGCACATGTATGCGATCTTGTAATCAGGTGAGAACGCCAGACCATTGGGCTTGCTCAGCTGGTCGGCGACGACGCGAACGCTGCCTGTGGACGGGTCGAAGGCATACACCTGGTTTGGCAAACCCGGCGCGGGCTTGAAGTTCTGATAAAACCCATAGGGCACGTCTGCGAAGAAGATGTTGCCGCTTGGGTGGTGGATCTTCGCGTCATTCAACGAATTGAACTGGCGTCCATAAAAGTTGTCGAGGATGACAGTAGCGTTGTACGGCTCCTGCGGGTTGACCAAGGCAATGTTGGCAGGAAGGCCTCCCCGGCCTTGGTTCATGACGAGGATGTTGCCGAAGTATGGGCCCGTAGCGCCGTTGGTCATTTGCACGAAGTCGGGAAGGGGGACATTGGGATGGGAGACGTTCACGTCTTGTGGTGTGCCGCCCATCGCTGCCTCGACATCCTTTACAGAGATCTTTGCAATCTGGTTATTGTTGTTGAGGTCACTACGACCAAGACGGCCTCCAGCATTCGAGGAGAACCATATTTCGTCTGTTTCTGGGACCCATACAGGTGCTTCGTGAGCGAAGGCAAAGGAGGGGTCAGAGGAGACTTCGTGGATCCATGGGTCATCGCCAAGGATGTCGTAGAATTCTGCGTCGAAGACTATTGGAGGGAGAACCATGTCAGTCTCATGACAATGTGCTCGGACACCGACGCGTACCTTGGAAGAATGGAGCGCTTGTATTGGTAGGGTCCCACAGCACCGACTGATCCGCCCGGAAGGACGCGTTGCCGCCGTTGGGAGCGAGGACGTTGAAGCTTTTGGGGTCGATGATCTGGAAAATAGGCTTTGTGTTAACTTCAATGTTGAGTATCAGCGCCTTCAACACTCACTGCCACTTGAGGGTTATCCTCGTAGCTACGCGCCTCGGAGGCCGCACGGGGCATTGCAGACTCGGGGAGTGCATATCCAAATGCACTCAATGAGGCTACGACAGAACCTACAGAGAACTTCACCATGATGGGCAGAGGTGAGCAACGCGCGGTCCAGTTTTCCAACACATCCGCATTTTATAGCCACTCGTCATGGAGGAACATAGAGTGACATTCCGGCGGAATATATCTCCAGACTCGGATGATGACGAAAGATCCGCTAACTTCCACCGGGCCAATCTGGGTTATGTAAGTGATGGCGAGGCCTATCATATTTTGAACCTCAGACTCTAGAAAAGACTTCGGAAACGGTGTGAATCCGTGTTGTATGTCAAGACTCAATGATAAAACAATGCAGAAGTTGCTGTTAAACAGGAGAAAAAGACAAGGGCTTGACCGGGAATTGAACCCGGGACCTCCTCCAGACGGTTTAACCCTAAGAAGGAATCATACTACTAGACCATCAAGCCACGAAAGTGATCGGCAAGTAGCGTTTACAATCTGATAGCTTATCTTATCTCTGACCCAGTCGATCAATCTGCATTTCGGATCCGTTGCTCAATCATTTTTCTTCATTACTGTCATGGCCGAAATTCACGACCAGTTCGACACCATCCTTATCCTCGATTTTGGCTCGCAGGTGGAAAACCGTCGAACATTTCGTTTCCTCTGGCTAATATCACATCGGATTAGTACAGCCATCTCATCACACGGCGCTGTCGCGAACACAATGTCTACGCAGAACTTATGCCATGTACCACCAAAATGAGCGAAGTCGGCTTCAAGCCAAAAGGTGCGCTACAGTCCGATATATCTGGGTCGCCTCTCATCGTTTCTAGGCATCATTCTCTCTGGCTCACCTTATTCTGTATACGACAAGGACGCCCCCCGTGTCGATCCCGCTGTATTTGAGCAGGGCGTCCCTATTCTCGGCATATGCTACGGCCTACAAGAAATGATCTCCTCGATGGGCGGCACCGTCTCGAAAGCTGCGCATCGCGAATACGGCTTCGCAAAGCTCAACATCTCCAAGCCAAGCCCGCTGTTCGACGGCCTGGGTGATGAACTCGACGTCTGGATGAGTCACACAGACCAGGTGCACGGCCTGCCTGAGGGATTCCATGTTATTGCTAGCACGTCCACCGCTCCGTTCGCCGGCGTCTCTCACGACTCGAAGCCATGGTACGGCATCCAGTTCCACCCCGAGGTCACCCATTCCGAGCGCGGCAAGGAAGTTATTGGGCGATTCATTGTCGACATTTGCGGCTCGCACAAGTCGTGGACGATGGAGGAGTTTATTGGGAAGGAGATTGCTCGGATTCGCGCTTTGTGTGGGGACACTGGACGCGTGATTGGTGCCGTGAGCGGTGGTGTCGACTCCACTGTCGCCGCCAAACTCATGCACGAGGCTATCGGGGACCGCTTCCACGCCATTATGGTCGACAACGGTGTCCTGCGGATGGACGAGGGTGCGCAGGTACTCAAAATGCTTCGTGAGGACTTGGGCGTCAACCTCACTGTCGTCGACGCGTCGGACCTCTTCCTCGGCCGTCTGGAGGGTATCGAGGACCCGGAACAGAAGCGCAAGATCATTGGCAACACATTCATCAACGTCTTCGAGGATGAGGCGCATAAGCTTGAGAAGGACGGGAAGGTTGAGTGGTTGTTACAGGGCACACTGTACCCCGATGTCATTGAGAGCATATCCTTCAAGGGCCCCTCTGCGACCATCAAGACACATCATAACGTTGGAGGCCTGCTTGCAGACATGAAGCTCAAACTTATTGAGCCTCTTCGCGAGCTCTTCAAGGACGAAGTACGGGCGCTTGGCCGTCTCCTCGGAATTCCCCACCATCTCGTACAGCGTCATCCCTTCCCTGGACCTGGTCTCGCTATTCGCATCCTTGGACCTGTTACACGCGCCCAGGTTGCGATACTCCAACACGCTGATAAAATCTACCTGGAAGAGATTCATGCTGCGGGGATCTACGACCAGATATCGCAGGCGTTCGCCGTGCTGCTTCCCGTGCGTGCTGTAGGTGTGCAGGGTGACGCGCGAACGTACGAGCAGGTGATCGCGTTACGGGCTGTACAGAGTGAAGACTTCATGACGGCAGACTGGTACGTCTTCGAGCCCAAGGTCCTGCGCAAGATCTCGAGCAGGATCACCAACGAGGTCGAGGGCATCAACCGGGTGGTGTATGATGTATCGAGCAAGCCGCCGGCGACAGTCGAGTGGTTGTAAATTATAGAATACTTAACTAACTGTTGTATAGAGTGTAGTAGGTCGCCGAGTTTGTAATGGTCTATGTTTTCGATTCTTCTTCTGTTCGCATGCAAGTCTGCCTTCCCCCGCTTGGAGCGCGCCCTGTGCCCCACACTATGTTCCACTTGAAGGGATTCGTCCTCGTGAAATAAAACGTAGGGATGCACGCTGCATATATCCATATGCGCTCAATTTGTCCATACTTAGTAGGACCAGTTGAAAGCCTATTTTGTATACCGTGGGAATACTAGGCTCTTTAACACCGTGCATACCAGGCTCTACAAGATCCGTTGAGCCAAGGTCCAGCGTTCAAGGACTTCCGGCGACATGAATAAAGTCGCCATGGAATGATTATGAAATAGATGTGGCGCGTCTCTCGACTGTGCGGTTTAGAAGAGCTTTCCGTCTGTAGCTTTACAGATGTCGAGCCTCAAATCTCTTCCACCTCGCCTCCACTGTCTGATGGCAGGATCTCTGGGCGCTTGCGCCCCCCGGATTGGCAACTTCGGATGATCTTGACTATAGAAAGAGTTCACACGTACGTATATAACAAGGCACCTGCCACTTCAAGCTCACTGAATGTAAACACTGATGCCGTCGGGAAACTTTGGGGTGAACCCTTGAAATTGTGTATATATGTGTGTATTCCTAACTACTCCCAGAGCTTGTTTCCCCGCGCGCACGTAGCTAGAGAACTCTGCATTGTCTTTCGTGTCTTTCCGCTACGCAATGTCGATCTACGCCGCCCCTCCCACCCACCGTGACTACATTTCCGATGCGACAAAGGACTCGTCTTATGGGTATCACACTGTCGACTCGTCCTACTATGCGCAAGGACGATACCAGCCCACGGACCTTTACTACGATTATGGATCCACTGCCGCCTCTGAGTTCCAGCAGAAGCCCCCTGCGAGCTTTTATCTTGAGTCTGACAATCCTTACCCTCCTCCTGCGACATACGCCCACCACTACGAGGGCAGTGATGCTGGCTGGCAGCCGACGAGTGACCTGCATGCGCCATCACCTAAACACCCTAGCCCACTGGTTAGATCCCCACACAGCCCTCCTTCTCCGTACTAAGTCCCTTCTCTGCAGATCGAGCAAGACAGCGCCGCTTATCTTCAGTGGCGTGAATACCCAACAGGGCTGCCAGCGTCAGCCGAGCCCGACATAGCCGCCGTACGTCCAAACCTTCTGTGACGGTTTCTCACACGAACTTAAAAATTCTTTTTGTAGTATAGCGCGCCTCCAGTGCCTTCGTATCCGGTTTGGGATGTGCCCGCAAGCACTATCCCACCGGTCCATCATATCGAGATCCCACTGCCCAAAGCCCCGTCGCCCCAGAAGCGTCGTCGGGATAGTAAAGCGAGTTTGCTCGACAAGGACAAAGCTGCTGTTGCAGCTACCGCATCACTGCTCGAGCGCAACAAGGTGCTGGCAGCCGAACGCAAGGCTCTTGTCGACGCACGCATCATCGTCCCGCGGGTCCCACGCAACAGCACCGTGCCGTTCGTGTCGCAGACGAGGCTGGTCAGCAGCAAGCCTGCGTTCGCGACGAGTGCGAGTGGTGCAGAATGGCATATCCAGGCAGCTATTGCGGCGGCGCAGCCAGAGGCGCCAGAGCCCGACTCGACGCTCCCTAAGGGGACAGGGAGGATAGGCAAGGCGCCGCACGTAGCCTGTCATTTCTGTCGGACGCGTAAGATTGCGTGTGGACGGCCTACGGAGGGCGGCGATGCGCCTTGCAAGTGAGTACATCTATTTTCTATTTTTTATGCGTGATTAGCTAACGAGTTCTGCCGTAGTCAATGCTCGAAGCGCGGTCTGGCGCACAAATGCGAGTACCCGCCAACGTCGAAGCGTGGGCAGCATAAACGGCCCCTCAAGAGTGCTCTGGAGGGTATGGAACTCGTGTCGGGGCCATACTGATTTTGTGGGCTGGCCAGGGTAATACTCTCATTGTTGACTGCACGATGGATAGTTTTCAGTACTTTTCTCGTTTTCGTTGTATCTCGTTGTCGATGTTAACACAAATGTTCTGAATATTCGCATGGGGTAGTGGTACGGGGACCTTTCGATTGTATAGAACTTACAGTAGCCGTTACAATTCAAGTTGTGATGTGATAATCGGATGCGCTGGACACCGTTCAGTTTGTTCTAGCCATCAAACTACCTCATACGCTAGAATTACTGTGAACATCGAAGTGTGGCACGCACAATCATCAATGGTGCCACTGCGGGAGTAGGTGGGATTCGGTGTAGATGAACCGTCTTCTTTCTCGATGGGTTAGCCGGCGGCCGCGGTTCGTCTGCCGCAGAATTTGAGCTTATTTTTAATGTCACAGCAACGCCGACATGAAGATTCAGAGAAAACGGCAATGTGGTGTGGCACTCAATTATCATAAGTTATCTATGACCTCGCAATGTTCTGCACCGCAGGCCTCTCGATGAGGGCGCTTCATTCGAGAAAGCCCCACTTAGGTCATGTTGTCAATTGGGAGGTACCATCTGAAGCTGCTGCATCCACGTTTCCACGCTGTCTTGAATTCATCCAGTTAGCTCAGTTACTCTGAAGTTAGTTAGTGACCTGGCTGTAGCCTGTCAGAGCCTAATTTGGTATTGATAGAAAGACCCAAGGCGCCCAAGGCTCATTTACTTACCTCACCCTGACGTACGCGACTAGCACATTTTGGGATGCAATTCACTGAGTTTGAGTGGTTGGGATCTTCTAACCCGCGGGAATCGCACATGAACTTCAGGTGGCGGGCCGTACATCAATCCCGCCTCCTGCCACCATGTTCGCCAGATTTTTGCGCTTTTATGCTCGCGAACGCGCCTGTTGCTCTGTGACAACGCATCCACGTGCAAATTCCAAGTGATCGGGAAGGTTGACTTCGGACCATGACGAGCACCTACAGCAACACACCGCTCGAGCCCGTCTTCTCGCACGTGAGCGAGGCGGTGCTCAGCGCAGAGCGCGCCTTTTACAAACTTCCTGGCTCGGCCATCATCGAACGCTATGTCCGCAGCTCCCACCAGAACGACCCCGGCCGCACCGTACTCGAAATCATCCTATTCCTACTAGTCGTTCGCACATTACTACAAAGTCGTACACGGGCAGATCGGAATGCGAAGAGCTTTATCGAGTTTTCGGAAAAGGTGCGTCCCTCGGGAGTCTCTCTGGCTTCGGTGTTGCTGACCAGG